AAAAAAAAAAAAAAAAAAAACCAGAAAAGGGTAGAAGCTCACATTAGTGCCAGAGGAATTGGTTTGAAAGGAAAAGGGGTCACCTCTCCCTGCTGTGCCGCTGCATGGGAGCGGTAAGTGGCTTCTCCCCCACATTTGAGTCTCTTTAAGATGGCTTTTCTTTCACAATGTGTGCATTAGATTCTGCTTCGCGAAGGCTGCAAGAAGATTCTCGTGGCTGACTCTCTGTCCTTACTAAAGAAGATGCACCGAACTCAAATGAAAGGCATTCTGGTTGATGGTGGGTAAAATTGAAAGAATCCTATTGGAACTGCTTGCCTTGCTATCAGAAAGGACAGAGCAAAGAGAAACATTGTATAATCCCAAGTGTATGTGTTTCCTTGCAGAGGAGAACATCTGTGAGTCCTGTCTTTCCCCTATTCTCCCATCAGGTAAGATGGTTGGGAGGGGAAAAAAAATCCCCAAATATGTGTTAATGATGAGTGGAGTTAAAATTCTGAAGTTAGCGGATTACAACTTATAAAATTATATACCTTTTGGGATAATCCAGTTTAGAGAAGAATTGTAGCCCATGTTGCTACTCAGTTGCATGCTGGTGCCGCCGTTCCTTAGAGCTGAGGCTCCCAAGCTCTCGAGTGAGTCGTCATTGGCCGGCAGGCTTGTGAAAACTCAGATTGCTGGTGCCATCCCCAGAGGCGCTGATTCGGTAGTGCAGGGTGGGACCTGAGAAGCTGCATTTCTAACAAGTTCCCAGGTGATGTGGATGTGACTGGTTCAGGGGCCAGTCTTTGAGAACCACTGCCCTAGTATAGAAGGAAAGAAAATGAAGACTTAACCTCAACTTGTTAGATTCCTAGCTAGCAGAACCGTGTGTGTACCTGGGAAAAAATTGATAGGTAGCTTTCCCTTTCCTTTAAGCTTTCCACTGCTATATGGATCTAGGCACCCAAGTTATCTCACATTTCAGTGGAAACAAATACCTTCTAAATGGGAACTGTGACTCCTTAAAAGACACGTACATTTGTTTATAGTTCTTGGTAGCTATATATCTCTTCATATAATTAAAGCATTTTATGTAAGGATCATAGGACATGAGAGAAAGTAGAAATTAAAGCATAGTTGTTGAGATGCTAAAAAATGCTTCTTGTGACGGCTTCCCTGGTGGCGCAGTGGTTGAGAGTCCGCCTGCCGATGCAGGGGACGTGGGTTCGTGCCCCGGTCCGGGAAGATCCCACATGCCGCAGAGCGGCTGCGCCCGTGAGCCACGGCCGCTGAGCCTGTGCGTCCGGAGCCTGTGCTCCGCAACGGGAGAGGCCACAGCAGTGAGAAGCCCGCGTA